TAATCCACTTAACCATCCATGAATGGTATAGATCACTCCCTTTTATGGGGTGTTGTGATATAATCATTACTCATAGTGGATGCCTGGATGGTGTATTATTGTTTTTTAAAATTTTTTTTATAGAAATTACATGCTAAAAATGGTCTTTAGGGTAATAAATTGACGCCGTTTAAAACAGGCATGGCTTCAAGTCTTATGAAAGAAAAATTTATTACCATTTCTAAACTAGGCTTAGGTTGGTCAGATGGTGTCAATTGGGTTGAAGGTTTTGACCAAATCCGATCCGTTAGTAGCCAGTTTATACAGGTTAACACATTTGTCACTGTACCCAATTAGACCTCACTTGAAGCTGTGAATTCTGCACCGGCTTCAGATCTAGTGGGTCTGAATGAGAATTGCTATCTCTAGCAGTTATATGCTTCTGAAAGTCGTGAAGGCATAGGCCTGTCCACTAAAAAGATTTTATTGAGACTGCTTAACAATTCATCAATTGATCAGAACAGTTTCGTGTGCTATGTGTTGTGGATATATATATATATATATATATATAGTATAGTATATATATATATATATAAGTATTGTTTCATTTTTAACAATTTGTTATGGTATGAAAAGTGAGACCGTGGTATGCTAATCTGAAAATGCTATAAGAGCCAAAGTCACAAAACTGATGCTTGGAAGAGCAGTTTACTATGCACGCAGTCTTTTTTTTTGGGTTCCAATTACTACAAGTCTGATATAGAAATATTCTAAGGAGCTCTTTTCGTCTCTGATATTTGTCGCCTATAACATGCTTAAATAAAACACCACGCTTACAAACTTCCCATCAGACATCTAATAATAATTTGTTTGCAGGATGATAGCAGGAAAGCTGCTTCAGATTTATTTCCATCTTTGAGTTCTTCATTAAAGAGAAAGAAGGATCATGGTACTCATATTTCTAGAACTTCATGCTTAGTTTATCATATACGTTGACATCAAGAATCGAACAACTATTTATAGTAACAATTTCCTGTATCATTCATATTGAATCCCATGCACGACATTCAACATTTCTAATGCTTCAGGAAGAGCTGAAGCCCTTCTTATTGCTGCCTATGGAAAGGGTCTTAGAATACAAGCTGAAGCAATGGGTACATCTAATGAGGCCTCAACACCGACATTATCATTGGAAAATTGCTCCATAGAAGAACAACAAACTGTATGAGAATGCAAGTTTACTACACAACCAGGATACTAACTTTAAGAATGAGAAAAGAAGATAAGACATGCTTGACTTTTAGTCGCTTTGAACCACTAGCATAATTTTATGTTATATTAACCCTTCTATCGTTTAATTTATATATTTGAAGATTATATATGTAAATACATTATATATCGCTTGGGTCGTACATGCTTCGACATTAATAGGTTTCTGCTCCCATTTATTTCCTCTTGGGTAGCTGTTCTTTGTCTATGGACTATGGACTGCTGTGCACATATACTTCTGTGCGTAAGCACTTGTAATGGCCAATGCATAAGCATTGGGAGTGTTGAAAACTTAAAATGTAGTTACAGTGTAAAAATGTATACCCACTGGCCCGAAGGTCTACTTCAGAGGGCAAAATGGCGGAATTACATTTGATGCACTAAAGTTTGTGGCTTATATTATAACCTCCAAATGTATATATAATTTTATTTTGTACAGGAAGTATTTCATAGTGATAATTTTTGAAGCTTTCCTATTCTCTGTTTGCAAACTGGAACAGATTAATTTGCTGGAAAAGAAGTCGTTGAAATTTAAAATTTATCTGAATGTTTAGGTTTCTTTAGTTACGTAGTTTCTTAAATTTATATGGTTCTGATATATATATATATATATATAAGCCTCTTGATATTTACGAATCAGGCTAATGACTTTATTTAATATGATAAACCCAAGTGACGCGGTACATTTGAGTGGCCGTTGTGAGGATGAAGAATGCGTATGAAAAGTTTTGATAACTCGGAAGAAGCACTTTGTAACACTTACGTAAGTTCTCACATCCATTACATTGGCAGGATAGTGCTTTGCGTTTAAATCTTTTTTGCTTAATATGGCTAACATCACTTCAATACATTCACAGTTGGTTAATGTTACTGGAACAGAACTTCAAATGAATACTCTTCACAACAAAATTTTGATAATTTTTTTTACGGGAACTAACCCTGGGTATGCAAGCTCTGTTCCCAAATTCAAAACTGCGAATGAATTCGTGTGGACGCCCAACATTTCATGAAAAATTCTCGAAACCAGATCAAGGATCATCGAAGTGTGGACGGACGCCCAACATTTCATGAAAAATTCTCGAAACCAGATCAAGGATCATCAAATCGATCAGGACCGTGGTCACTCTTGGGGAACTTCTGAGAATTTAAGTTCAGCCTTTAGAGCTGGATCAAGCCCTAAATACCAGATTGTTATTTTTTTTTCTAGCTTACATTGAAAAGCACACAGTACAATGTTGGTAGCTGTACAGTAGTTTTAGGAAATAGGATCAGACACTATCCTTCACGTTACCTGCTCAGGTTAGCCTCCAATCTGAGGGTATAAGATGCGTTTGTGCCTTCGATAAAACAAAAGAACAAAAAAAAAAAAACATAGGCGCAATATTCTTGAACATATGATAATCATCTTGTATCTGAAAGCATCATGGAAATGATACTACATTTGACGTGAAAAGCTTCTGAGCTACGCATCTAAGTACTTGTCAGGTGCAAGGGTGATATGGAGTAACAGATTTGGCATGTAATCACCTCTGATGTTTATGAATGTGTTGCTAATATCTTGCTCACAGGGAATCCTAAAATTTCTTCGATAAAAGTAGGGAACAAGAGAATTCTTCAAAGCCCTCATAGATACATGTTTCTCCTTAATCTTTGAGCCAAGCATGTAAATTGAAAGCGTAAACCTGTCTCTGATCAAACACCCTGGGAAAACATAGAAAGGACTTCACTATAGAATGTTCGGTTAACAAAAAATTAGCTAAGCGATATCTCAAAAATGACTCCTTCAAGGTTCGAAATGGTGGATCTCGTCCCGCTAACTTCATTAATCGTCATGCCATGCTTCATAGCTTCACTCGTAACCACTGAATCCATGCTGCTTGGAAAAGAGAGAGTTGAACAATAAGCATACCTTGTTTATTTGGTGCATAAGTTATTCATAGAAAACGACGACTCACATAAATAGTGGTGTGTCAACAACAGTATTCAAGCTAAATAATGCGAAACCTTTTAACCCAACTGACATCTCAGGCAACTAGCTTAGTTCTTCATGAACTATGCTAACCTCTTAAGTTTTCAACAGGCCAATATCATGTAAAACGATTAGTAAAATTAGCTGCTGAAAATATAAATATTAAATGGCCGCCCATTTGTTCCATATTCTCAATGTATGTAAGGTATACATCAATCAACTTTGCTGAAATAATCTATTATATTGACTAAAGCTTGCTATGTTTACTAGTCTACAGATGATATCAGAAAATAGAGAATTTTTGACCTTAGTAACCGCCCCATAAATCTAAACTGTATATTGAATAAAGATTCATTTGATAGTTTTGACATCAATACATGACAGTCAAATTTCCTAATTTAAGTTGACATTGATAAGGCTTCCTAAGTTCAAATAGCTTGTCAACAGGAGTCTGCAAAGGTTTATGCCCATCCTCAATAATTTCTATAGCCTATCTATCTATTAAGGACTTTTTGATTTCGAAAGAAAGCATCCAACTCTACAAGGCACTATCTGAGATCCTAGATGTCCAGTTATCCAAAGAAACCGAGATGGGTAGTTAATGTTGTACAGCTTCAATTGTAAAACTTTTGCACCTTACTTATTTCTCAATAATCATTTCCCAATTAGGTGGCACCAGTATCAAAATCAATCTCTTCTCGTAGAATGTTTTGACGCCGATGCATATTGTCAGCGACTATGAACCTTGTAAGATTCTAAATAATGGCCCTTTTTCTGGGAATAACAATGAGTTTTCAATGAAATAACATCAAGTAGATTTTCAAGCCATCTATAAATTTCAAAACGGCAGCACATACTTCTTAACTATCATCATATTCATCATCTTAAGGTCTCCCTCATTAAGATAGGCCTGGTCATGAGGGATGACTAACATTTGATAAACCCCATAAAGAACTAATTTAGCTCTACGGACAGCTGCCAAACTCCTCGCCCTGGAAGCTGTAAGGGAGAAGCTGATAGGGATCTAACAGTTCAAAACCTATTCATCTGGGGTTAGAGAAAGAGGGTTTGACTTAGACTGGATTGAGTCATTTACTTTTCTGTTGAGTGCTGTTCTTTTGGTTTAGTTCAGTTATCTTTTATATTAATTGATTTAGTCTATTAGTCTAGTTGATTGGGTTTGAGTCTATTTGGTTTGAGAGACATTGAATCCTATTTGTATTAGTGTTTCACTTTAGATTCTAAATAATGCAGGAAGCCACTATTCAAGATGACTTGCCACATAATTATCATGCTGAGGGAAATTAGCGTAATTATTCATTTATGACTGTTATCCTACACAGGATTATGTCAATGCAAAAAACTATAGGGTTATTTGCAAAAATAACCCTCAATCTTAGTATTTACAAAACTACCCCTCAAATCATCAACTTTGTGAAAAAATACCCGTAAAATCAACAAATCATCAACTTGATGCTAAAATTTTGACTAGTTTGTTGATAATTTTTACATTGTGATTACAGATTAGCTTATCAATATTGATGATTAATTGCTTCAAGTGTATTTTATTTTCGAAATTTGATGATTTGAGGGTAGTTTTACAAATACCGAGAATTGGAGGGTATTTTTGCAAACACCCATGATTTAAGGGTATATTTGCAAATGACCAAAAATTACATATGTTCTAAACGTAAACAGTTTTAATATGGAAGATACCAACATTCTTCTAATATGGAAGATACCAGTATCCCTTTGTTATAATATCGAAGAGACTAATGTCAATGTATTATTGTTTCACTTGTGATTCTAAAATGCAGGAAGCCACCAATCAAGATGATTAGCCACATAACTACAATGCTGAAGGAAATTAGCATAATCATTCATCTGTTACTGTTATCTTACACAAAATTATGTCAAAAATTGTATATATTCTGATGGTAATCAATTTTACAGTCACCAGGTCCAAGGGGATTACAGAACATGACTATTACAACTTAACACTCAAGGATATGAGCAGTTATCAAAGGATGTTTCTAAACTTTTTGGGCATGGACTTTTATCCATTCAAAAGCTGCACGTAACGATAAGCAATATAAAACAAAAATAACCGATCAATACAGTATTATATGTTACTAAGAGAAAAGCTTACATCTTAGCACGAGATACATAGGCTAGTATGAATCTGCAGCCTTTATGAAAATGGAGAAGTTTCTGAACAGTATTGAAAAGCAAAGGAATACTGGATTGTTGAAAGCTTACATGTTGTCAAGGTATGAGAAACAAAATATGAAGATCCAAGAACAAAGGCATAATGAAGAATACGAAATTAACTAATTAAGGATATAAATATCAGCACCAAGAATGAGATCGAATCCCCCCGGATATTTCTGTAATATTTCTCTAATCTGATCGATATCCCCCCACTCAAGTTTTTCTGCTGTCAAGCCTGTAAACCAGTGACAGTGCCAATATATTTTGTCAAAACAAATCATAATGAAGAGAAAAAATAAATCTAACTTAAAACCTCATTACCAGCAGATATTGTATTTCCACAAGATGCTTGGAGTCCTATATTTTTCTCCAAAATCTGCATACAAAAAATAAAGCATAAGATTATAGGATCCAAAGAAGACAGGTTCCGTGCTATAAGAAAGTTCAAAATCTTAGGTCTACATCTAATCGCCATTAAATGCCAAACCAAACCTGTGTCTCAACAGATGAACCAGATATGATCAGATATACGATTATCGACAGAGCAAAAAACTTTAAAATAACTTAGCATCTGGTTAGACACTCTTTAACGATGTAGACCAATTTGATAGAAAGAATCTTTCGGTTTTCAATTTTCTATTATTCGATATGAATAGAACACATAACCTCCTTCCATGCTTGTGCCTGTGTGAGAGAGATGAGGTAAGCTACTTTTAGAAGTATCCGGGAATGGAAACACTTCTACGTGAATATCTAAAATCAAGTAAGAAATTATCATACTCAAATTAATTAATAAATTATTCAACGGGACAATGGATTTTGCCAAGTTTTCACTAAATCTCTTCCTTTGTTCAGGTTAATCCTCTTTTATAATGGTGTCCAGAGAAAACAGAGGTCTCGTCCTCTTGAAGATGCATTAGTTCTGCATGGCGACGATTGGTGGGCTCATCATGGTCAATCACAAATCTATATCTGTTATTAAAATCTCTAACCATTCAAAACAACACTTGGCAATCTTCCCTGCAACTGCACCGTGACAAGTTTTTGTTAAAAAATTCTGCATTGTAAACCAGTCTCATCTCTCTACACGTCTCACTTCACTTGACATCATTGACTAAAAGTTTTTGCAGACCCTTCGGTGTTCTAGGGCAACAAACCGGCATCTCAATAAAATATTAAGGTTTACCTCCTACCTGGAAAATTTTCAAATTCATCCGGAGTTCCAAGGCATTTCTATCAAGCATTCTAAAGAATCAAATTACCTCTTTAAAAAATCAAATTGATTAGCTATCATACTATACATCTTCTCTCTCTGTCCAAGAACTCTTACTTCCACGCCAACTTGTAGAACTCTTTAAAATAAATCTGAACTCTTATTTCCACGCCAACCTGTAGAACTCTTTACATAAATCTCCATTTATCCATTTCAATGAAGCATTCAAATCTCTCTCTCTCTCTCTCTCTCTCTCTCTCTCTCTCTCTCTCGCTCTCTCGCTCTCTCTCTCTCTCTCTCTCTCTCTCTCTCATTTATTTCTATGTTTTGATACTCGGGCACTACACAACACTACAAATATTACTATTATTTTTTTTCAACTCAAATATTAACTTTTGAAACTACATACTCTTTTCTATACTTATGCTCCACTTTTTCCTTTACATGTTCTTTTTTTCCCACTCTAATTTCTTCATGGTTTGTACTATAGTTGTAATGACTAGGTTGATCCCTTTTATTTCTTCCTTCCAAAGTTATATGAAAGGTAATCATCATTCACTTTGTCATTCAAAAAAAAGTTTGATCTTTTTTCTAATATAAAATTGAGATTTCCTTCTATAAAAAAAGAACTTGAAATTTTCTATTTATCCGTTAAGAAAAATTGATAACTTGGTATGGGATCAAATTTAGAGAGTAGTTTGAGGAAGGTAGGGACAGTCCACGCGGTGGAGCCCACCAACAATAGTGATTCAACAGTGATGACAGCGAAGATTGTCATCAAAGTAGGTGACAGCATGAAACCGCTGAAGAATGAGGAGGCTAAGGATTTTAAGGAGGTTGTGGCATAGGTACAGAACACTTTGTCGTCCAATATTAAGGATTAAACCCTCACTTTGTTTTGAAATAATATAACAAACACTTATACTTAGAGAAGTTTTAGTTTTTTAATAAAAGTACATTTTTTGATGTTACATCCTCTAGAATCTAAGGCTGTATTTTAATTTGCTCATATTTACTACTAAAGTCTTTTCATTTATTATTTATTTTTTTGTGCAGAATGTTGTCATAATTCAGTTGTTGTTCATTGGTTAATTCCTAGAATTTGGAATATATAATAGTCGTAAAACTTCATTGTCACATAATGATGTGGGTTTATATAGTTCAATCTCTATAATGGGTTTTGGATTTTGGATTTTGGTTAATTCCTGGAATTTGGATTTTGTTTTAAATAAGGATCTCAAACACCATGAAAGAGTAAAGGGACTTCTTATAATGCAGTAGAGTTTATGATGAATAAAATTTTATTTACGTCAGATTTTCGAGTGATTTCTCAAGGCATGAAGCCATCTTCCAAGTTAAATGTCTGTATGTGAAACTACTCTAACCACCTAACTTTTTAACCCATTCTTTTAACTTTCTTCTGATTGGCTTTTTTATTTAAGGGGGAAAGTTACTATTCACCCAAGGTTACTGTTCACATTGAATTTTTTTCCGATGGTCTCCAATTAAATTCAAATCAAAGTTCGTCCTTTCCTTTCTACAAAAATAGGAGTATATTTTTGGGAAAGATGGTAATGTAGCTCCACAGGTGCACGAGTTTACAGCTGAACTAAACAATATATATATATATATATATATATTTCAAGGATGTGAAAGATGACAGTATGCAATTCTATAAGTTGGATTACCAAGTTCATCAATTTGACCACAATGCATGATTAATTTTAGTTTGATATACCTCCTTAAGAATAACAAGTTGACCACGATGCATGATTAATCTTAGCTTGATATATAATTGAGCACGTCAAAGAGGTAATAAGTTCTAAGACAACTAATAGAGGAATCATATTGTATTTAGACCTTGCCTCAAGAACTTCATCATTGTGGTCAGTTAGTACAACCTCACGGCAGAATCTACCGCATAATATGCCTGTAATACCTGAGAGCAACCACATTGACAGTCAGTGTAAGTTAGGATATCAAGACAACTAAAAATATTAACGATAAACTTACCAACTCCTGAGCCTAATTCGATGACTGATTTTCCTTCAAGTATTCGAGCATTCATGGAGAGGTAATTGTTCAACAAGACCGCACCCGGCCATACTAATTGCCCAGTAAGATCATAGTCGGCTTCAATGTGTATGGAAAACATCTAGTTAGACCTAATTATCCAATTAACATTAAAGTAAAAGCAAAGTGACGATATATTACAAGTGCAACTAATCACATCACAAAATCTCACAAGGATCTAGAGAATCTTGAGTTAATGGTTAGGGTTATTAGCCACATAGCAGCACTGAGAACACTATGAAAACGCCTTATACTTTCTGATAGCCTCAAGCGTTACCAAACTCATTTTAATGCCACAGTTCAACTTTATATCAAAATACTAATTAGATGTTATTCTTGCTATCGAACTAGCTCTGTCTTGGAGGACTCAAAAAGTGAGAACCGAGATCGAAGGATGAAATGGAGGGGGGGTGGGGGTGGGGTGGGGTGACTTTGCATTTATAATGCGAATATAGCTTACATTTACTGATATAGAAGCTGAAGCCCTATTCTTATCCTTGGATAAAACACGCATATTACTGAAAGGGTTCTGATTTAAAACTCATCGGATAATAGAATAAATACTGTCTCGCAATGAGTAGCCTGTACACATCTCCTACGGCAACACATACCAGACGCTTTAAATACAAAATTATGCTTTTCTTTATCGCGTTTGTAACCAGAGTACGCTTCAAGGAAGACCCGTGTTGTCAAAAGAGCACAAATTTGGGGAAGTAAAACTACGGTCTGAACCTCCGAACAAAAATCTGAGTCCGCTTAAGCTTAGTGTCACCTTTTCTTCAGGAGTGAAATACACATAGAAATCACAAACTCCGCGCTACACGGCAGCATATAAACTAAGCACGCCTAAAATCTCCATCGTCGTTGGTTGCCACTGTCACCATACAGACACTTCCAATCAATCAGGCCGGCGATGGAGCACAACTCGGTAGTTAATACTCCACTTGTTTCTGTGACATTGTAAGCTGAAGGAAGAGTCATGGGTGAACTAGTGAAATGAACTTCCATCGAATTCACAACAAAGCTGAATGCCTTACTTATTGGGCGTCTATGGGAGTTAGCACAAGCCTTTTTCTTTCTAACGGGACCATAAAATAAACCCAAAAATAAATAAACAAATAAATAAATAAACCCATCTCATCTTCTGATGCTAATAAAATAATGCTGAACTGCATTCAGAAGGAGAAAAGAGAAACAAAGAAAACTTACTTGAAGCAGAGCGAAGGCAGTAGAGGTGAAGTTCATGGCTCCCAAATGTAAAAGTATCGATCTCATAACTGCGAGAATCAAAAGATTTAACCCATCTGCTTCACTAAATAACAATTAAATAAAAATACCAAAATAGAGCAGTACTCGCGATTAACGAAGAAGGATTCATCCAAACAGACGATTTCGTCGCTTTCGTCGCCGCAGCTGCTGCTCGTAAGGCTGGCTGCGCCCTCCGCCATTTAGTTCCCCCCCCTTCAAATTTTGGGATTAATTCTTGAAAATAATTTGATTTTAGGGTTTTGACATAAAATAAGGCCCGACAAAAAATACGCTAGTAGTTGACCGAAGTTAAGTGGCTGTTTGGTTGCAAGGATTTGAGATTTACTCGGATATATGTGGGCCCAAGTGCAAAAAGTGCCGGAACAAAATCTATTATTCATAACAAAATCCGACGGTATGTTTCGCAACTATCCGAAAATTGGGTCATGTTAAATTCTGGTCTGAATCAATTAGAATTGGTCCAAGACTCCAAGGAGATGACGGTCAATACTAAACTGGTTTTTATGGTCTTTATATGGTCTAAGAAAAACTATGAGGGGGTTAGGTTATTGGTTGTGATATTTTTGGGGATAATGAGATAATTTTAGGGATTCTATTTCATAGTGTTATTCATTGGGACAATGGAACAAAGATAATACCTTTTTGTGTTATTGGTTTTTTGGAACACTAGCGAGACAATTACACCATTTGGGATAAAATTACCCCACTCATATACAAAATTTTTGTCCCAATAGTAAAAATTTACCCCATCCTCCATATTGGAACAATGTTGTTCCACTTTGAAGGCAATTGAGATAATTTTAAAATATTTTTGTATTACTTCACTAATACATGCAATTACATTATAAATATATGACATGATATATAAAATATAACATATATTAATATTTTAATAACATAATTTAATAACATATATTAATAATATTATATAATAATAATTATAGCATAACATATTTATTATAATATTATATAATATTGTAATAACATATATTAATAATATTATATAATAACATATATTAAATATTTTAATAACATATATATAATATTTTAATAATATATATTAATAATATTATGTAATATATTATTATATAATATTAATTAGTAATTATAGTATAATGTATTTATTATAATTATAGTATGTACTTCACTTGTGCTTAGACGGAGTATTCTAGGAAATCCACCCTGTGAGCTCCAATTTTGGAGAGGTAGTGGTAGAAAGCTTTTTTTTAAAAAATAAATAAATAAAAGGAGCCCACACAAGTGCAAAAAAGTAACCAAATTATTATTAAAAAAAATTGAAAATCAAGTCACATTGGAGCAGTAACAATACTTAACGTTAAGTAATTCTTTGAATTAAGGTAAGGTCCTCAAGTGCTATCATATTATCCTATTTATCAAAAAAATGAGGATTCTGAACAGGCTCTAACAGGCCCTACAATTAGATTTATGAAAAATTGAAGTCTTAAAATAGAAGTTCTCCAGCCTAACAGGGGTCCAACTATCCACACTCCCAAACAGTAACTTTGGGGGTGTGTGAGGACTAAATTGCCCTTCTCCCAAACCAAAACAGGTCAAGTCCATTCCAGAAACACACTCAACATTAAAAGAGCATTTTCGGCAATCCAACTCTCAAAATTACTGCTTGGGAGTGGATATAGCAAACATGGCCTAACAGGCCCTACAATTAGCCCGGTTGCAAGGGTGGGTTTGGCAATTCAAGTAATCTGATTGATCCTATTCGGGTTTTTTAAATATTAGTCCCCTACGTCTTTCATATTTTGAATTAGTCCTCAAAATTTTTATATTTTAAACATTACTTACCCAAATGTGTTGAGTATTTCGAAATTAGCCCCCTAAATATCTGAACATGGTGCTAAGTAGAGAGACTAATTTTAAAACACTTTAACACATTTAGGGAGTAATTTCAAAATATGAAGCTTTGGGAGACTAATTTCAAAATACCTAAAGATTTAGGGGTCTCATTGTAAAATATGAAGATTTGGGGAACTTATTTCAAAATATGAAAGGTTCGAGGGAGTGATATTATTGAGAAACCACAAAGTAATAGGTTGTGGATTAACTCTCTCCGACTCATAACCGTACTAGTTTAGAGTTTCAAATTTGAACTAAAATAAACTAGATAAAAAATGACTAGTTTTTGTCGATAAAAAACACTCTAACTTTCATAATAATTAAAAAAAAACAAAAACAAAAACTTTCCATAACTGGATCAGGTTTTTGATCGAAAATACTCCCCTCTCTCCAAACAAAATAATAATAATAATTATTTGTTGGCTATATGCCTTCCAAAACCCATGCAATTTATAGACCCGCTCCAAAATCTATCCGTTCTCTTCAACGCTTTTTCAAAATCTATATGTTCATACTTCTGTCTTTTGTAGTGCAGAAATAATAGAGGAGAGAACAATGTACTTATCATTATTCTTTTATAAATATAAGGTAAATTTTAGAGACTTATTTAACTTTGAGTTCATCTGAAAAACGATAAAAATTATTTCTAATTTAAATAAAAAGGGTTTTCCTAATGGATGTCACGGACACTTAAAGAATGAGAGACATAGAGAGATTAGAGGTAAGAGAGAAACTAGAGCAAACGATGAGAAACTCATTTGCTATTTATTTCTTTCTATCCCCCCTCAGCTCCAAAGGACTACTGTCCATGGCGTCGGTCAGAAAAATCAAAAAAAGAAAAAAAGTTTTTTAAATGATAATTATTCCTTTTTTTGAACTCAGAACGGTCGCATGCCTGGGACACCCGAAAACAAATTAAAAACCCGAAACCAAACACGGAAAATATTCTTTCCTTACCAATAGAAAACTACAAACAGAGGAATAAGGTGGGCCCCACGTCCTTTTGAAACTTGTCAATTTCGAATCCTTCGTCCTCGCCACTCCCTTCCCTCATTTTGGGGAATTTTTTTTCCTTCCTTCCTTCGTTCTTTCTTTCTTTCTAGGGTTTCGATCTCTCTTCTCTCCCTTGCCTTTTAATTACCAGTTCCGCAAAATTTGCGAGCTCCATAGCTGATTGGCGACCCTAGCGCCGTTTGATCGTCCGATCGTTCGAGAGGATTGGCTCTGAGGTGGCTTCTAGGGTTTGGGCGGATGTCAGTTTGAGTTTAATCCGAGGTAGAGTTTCTGTTGATTGTTACTATAAGCCCGTTGTGTCATTTATTCTTGGTGCTAATTTCCTTTTTTTGGGTTGCAAACTGATTCTTTTCTTTAAGAGGTGCAAGCAAGGAATTTGAGAGAAAATTGGAAAGAGAAGGTTCTCGTCTGGAATGTTTTACGATTTGGCTGTTATCTTACCCATCACGAAATTTGGGATTTTTTTTTGATTAGTTTAACCGTTGGGCGCTAATTGTTTTTCCCCCTTGTTCCTTCCCCCTATTAAAAAAAGAAGAAGAAGATCAGCTAACGAATCTTTACGCTTTTAGGAAGAGATAGAAGTTTTGTAACGGGGATGCAAGCATAGGATTGAATTCTAGCAATGCACGATTCACTTTTTACTTGTAGGCTTGGTTGGGTTCAGGGTGGATATTTAAAATAAAAAAATTGCTGGTCATCTGTCACATGGTATATACAGATACAGTTATTTTGTTTGTATTTATTAACAGGCCTGACCTACTATAAGAAGTTGGGGATGTGTATCAAGATTTGTTGAAAGAGGGAGTCAGATAAGCATGTATTAGGATATGATACGTCAATAATGACTAACATTTGACAATGTTTGTTGCTTTAGACCCGTATGTGACCTTGTTGTTTGGTTAGTATAACTGGAGAATGCTAGTCTTCAAATCTGACAAGTTAATATGTAAAAAAATGTCAGCCGCTTAATAGAAATTTGGGGCTCGAGGTTGCGCTGGAGATTATTTCTTAGATCCTCTTTATGTCAATTGAAACTGATAAAGGTGCTGTGCTTTTCTACATGCAATTCAGCATTTGTCTGATATTTCCTTGTGTCCTCCTAAAAATCCAACTTGACTCTTCTATTTTTAGTGACCTTTTTTCCTCATTAATTTTATAACCTTTTTGTCCTGATCTCATCATTGAATGATAGTTTCATTAGCAAGTACACGGACCACTATCTCGACCATCAACGATTTGGCTGAGGTGAATTGTGCTTTATGAAGTTTTCTAAAGCCTATAAAATGATGTAATCTTGCCAGCACTGGTTAGTCCTTTTTCAATTTGCGTCTTAAACACATTCTTTTTTATGCTTTTGGCACTGCCTGTTACTGACCCTTCTTTATCTTCTTCCAACCAAATTCCTGAAGACTGATGATACTTTATCTTTCTCGAATTTTTTTCTTAAAATAATCAAGGGATAAAACACTATTGTCGATCAAATTCCTGGTGTCATATGAGAGAAAGCTGCAGATGCTGCTGACGATGAAGGGTGAACTGCTATGGTTGGTTGGCTGTCAAATTTTTAGATTTTAGATAAAATAAGAAAGAGAGACAGTTTCTAGTTTTGTCAATCAAACTTGTGACATGCAAGACAAAGCTTATGGTCAGATTTGATGCCACCATGATTATGTAGTTTGTATTCTGGGAACAACTTGCTTTTAAATGTTCCTTGCTTTACTCACATATAAAGCAAAGATGCTTCAATTGGCATGGCAAGACCTCTCTCCTTCCTAGTTTACTCAAATTGAAATCTAGCAGCAACTTGTAGAGGGTTAATGTCGCCTAGATAGATGGGATAGAAACCTGATACATATTCCACAGTGAAGATGGTTATGACATTGGCTTCGTTGTCACCAAATAAGCTTCTACTTTGTTTGTTTACTAATCATATCCAATAACTTCTTGATTTTGTTTTCATTTGGCATTTTAAGTCAGCTTTCGTTTCCGTTGCTGTTGCTGCTTGAACCATTTGTTTTTGATACATTAGCGTGCAGGTTGTTATTGAGTGAAGAGCAGCATGAATGTGAAAAAAGGTCGTTCAAATTCTTTTGATTCTCCGAAAGCAGAAGTGGGGGAGATAGACACCAATGCACCTTTTGCATCTGTCAAGGCTGCAGTTAGCTTATTTGGGGATGTAGCCTTTGCAGGGAGAAAGGCTAAGCCATCCACTCCATCAAAGACTTCCACCACTCCCGAGGTGGGCTTGGTTTAGATTCTGTTTTATTGCTTAATTCTATACATGATATATCTAGCAACTCTTACATTCAATCAAAGGTTTTTGCTTCAGAATTGGCTGTTTGAATTAGCATCCACATAAACTCTCGCAAGCGAATTAACCATATACTTAAAGGAAGGATCATTATAAGATCCTAATAACTTTGCAATATATGGGTGGACTACTATGCATATTCAAGATAATATGTTCCTGATTACATCTTATTAGTCAATGGAGCTAGAGAATGGATAATTTCAAAAGAAGAAAGGTGGACAAAAACATTGATTTAGAACCAACAGAAAATTGAATATATGAAATTTAACTTTAGCAGATGGCTAGTGTTGTAGAGAGTGTTAGATGCTTCGGGACACTGGATCTAGTGCCCTGTAAGTGAGCGGAAGGTATCTCATAGGTGGATATTTAATAGTTTCTAACTCATAGGTGGATATTTAATAGTTTCTAAAATAAAATAAAGAAAATTAGAACTTATGACCCATGTGCCTTTCTCTTCATCATCCGGGGTGTATTTTTTTTATTGGAAGTTTCAAACTCTTGTTTATCAATTTTTTTATTAGAAGTTTTAAACTCTTAGGTTATCAAAGGCGCAACTTACATGTTTTGTGATGGAGTTGGACGCAAAACCTGTATATTTTTTATTCTTCTGAGCTCTTTAGCCTACCTATCATAATCACTTTGGTGTACGTCATGTTGTTTCACAGCAAAAAGCATTCGCGACAGAGACACAACTGCACTTAGCCCAGAAGGAGCTAAATAAGTACAGGGAACAACTCCAAAATGCTGAAACAACTCGGTCCCAAGCGCTTGCTGAGCTTGACAAGGCCAAGAAAACAGTTCACAATCTGACTGCCAAGCTGACAGTTATCAATGAATCCAAGGAGCTTGCTCTGAAGGCTGCCGAAGCTGCAAAGACTCAGACTGACCAACTCAAAGAAGTAATTCCTGGCGAGGACCAAACTGGAAAGCTTGAACTTGAGCGCTCCACAGAGCAATATGCTGCTGCCATCCTTGAACTTGATGCTGCAAAGCAAGATCTCAGGAGAATCCGAAAGGAGTTTGAGGCCTTGGTTGAAGCCAAGATCTCTGCCTGCAACCAAGAATCCGAGGCCAACCAGCAGTCTGAGGAAAATTCTCTCAAGGCTCACCAGCTCTCCATGGAGATATCAGCAGTACAGGAATCCCTAGTCCATGTGAAGATCGCCACTGAGCAAGCCCAGCAAGAAGAATCCAAGATTAAGTCTGAGAAAGATTCCACCCGGCAATCCTACCAGCTTGCCCTAGAAGAAACTGAGAAGAAATTTGCTGCTCTGCAGAAAGACTTAAACCCTGAACTCCATAAAGAACTCGAATCAAAGCTAACTGAGACTGACACCGAGATTCATGCAGTTCGCAAGCAGTTGGAAGATGCTCGGGCTTCTGATATTGAATCTCTTAATACTGTGAACACTGAGCTGGATGGAGCTAAAGAAGTGCTGCTGAAAGTAGCCGAGGAAGAAAGTTCTCTCCGAAGTTTGCTTGAGTCTCTGAAGTTAGAGCTTGAAACAGTGACGAAACAGCATAACGAGCTGAGAGAAAAGGATGCTGAGACTGAAACTCTTGTAGCAGATCTCCACGTAAAACTCCAGGAATGCAAGGCTGAACTTGATGCTGCAGTGGCAGCAGAAACGAAAGCAACTTTGTCATCAGGTGACCTGATGACAGCTCTTCAGCAGCTGCAGTCAGAATCTGAAACAGCTCTCCAAGAGACGGAACAAATGAAGAAAGAAGCCGAGGCAGTAAGAAATGAAGCTGAAACAGCGAAAATTACCTTATCCGAGGCAGAGAAGAAGCTTGAAGTAGCATTAAAGGAAGCAGAGGCAGCAAAAGCAGCAGAAGCCCGAGCGCTCGATGAAATCAAGAATCTATCAGCAAGGGCTAGTGCTGCACGCTCATCAACATCTGCAGAGTCCGGGGCTGCTGAGATAATGATCTCAAAGGAGGAGTACGCATCACTAAGCCAGAAAGTTGAGGAATCTGAGAAGCTTACAGAGATGAAGGTGGCTGCCGCTGTAGCCCAAGTCGAGGCAATAAAGGCGAGCGAGGCTGAAGCAGCAAAGAGGTTGGAAGCCACGAGGAAGGAGATAGAAGAAATGGAAGCAGCGAGGGAAGAGGCTCTAAAGAGGGCGGAGATGTCTGAGGCAGCAAAGAAAGCAGTGGAGGGGGAGCTGAGGAGGTGGAGGGAGAAGGAGCAGAAGAAAGCGAGCGAGATGGCGGCGAGATTAATGGCAGAGACAGAGGGAGGGGAGACATCGATTGATGCAACATCACCGCCTAGGGTTTCTAGGGCTCCGGCTGGGGCTGCTGCTGCTGCTGAAGGGAGCGGAGACGGTAGCAGGAAGCATCATCATGGTAAGTTGTCGACTGGGGTGTCGAAGAAGTTTGCCTTGCTGCCAAACCTGAGTGGGATGTTTCATAGGAAGAAGAGCTTTGTGGATGGGGCATCACCTTCTCATCTTCCTGGTGATAAAGAGAGAAATAAGTGATTCTCTTTTTTTGTAACTCTATGTCTTGTTGATTTGTGATGTGCCTATATTTGCTATGCTTGTTTGTTTGTTTGTATAGTGGAGAGAGGAGCAAGTTATTTGTATTTTTACTGTTTTTCAAATGAGGACCTCGTTTGGCTTGGGCTTTGAGATGAGGTTATCCGTCAAAATCTTTTTGGTATTCTATCCTACCTTGGCTTGTTTTCATCTAGCTTTGTACTCCTTGGCTCTGTAAGCAGTTGAGTTTAATTGTAGCTTGCAAATAAGTTGATTTTATTTATTTTCTTGCAAGGGTCTTCATCTAGATCCTGTCCAAATTTTAGTTATTTTTAAAAATTATTCTCAAATATTCATATTTGTTAAATTCTCTCTCAGTTTATACTTAAAACCACTTAAGAGTATTTGTATCCGTTTAATCAGAGGATCAAATTGGCATATGTCTCCATCTCTCTTATGAATATGATTAATATTTTTAAAATTTGATTTTCTAAAATGCAAGTAGTACAAGAAAAAACATAGTCACTTTATGTTATTAGGTTTTATGCACGTGCAATGCACGTGGTCAAATATCATGATTAAATATATTTGTTTTATTTCCTTACTAAAACTTGTTCCTCGGTTTTACTTTGATGGTTTTTGCTTACTTATATCTCTAAACTTTAGCATTGTGATTATTTATTTTCTTAAATATTTGTTTAAATGAACTATGCCCAATTTAAATCTTTATATTGATAAGTGAATTGACAGGAAACAAATATAATCCAAAATCAATTTGAATTGAGACCAACATGAAACTAAGTTTGACCTGAGAAAATATAGCATTGTAAAAGTAAAAAACACTTAAAAAAAGTGTTCCAAAAGTAAAATGAATAATTAAAACTCATAAAACAAGATGATTGTTAAAAGTGGGCTAAAATCACACTAAAGATAATATGGAGTTTGTTCCCAATCATTGATAGACTTTAAAAAAAATTATAAAATAAAGATTAATACTAAATCTAGTATACTTTATATAATAAAAACATCCACATAAACATATAAAAATACTAAAAAAGTTTATGAAAATCCCTTACAAAAATTCCTAATTTACTCAAAAAAAACCTATCCTATAAAATATTTAGAAAATAGTGCCTTTCATTCATTATGTTTTATTTTTTATTGAGACGTTATCAATCATTCTTCACCTTTGTCTTTTTCGATAAAATTAGACTACTTTTAGATACCAAAAAAAGATAGTAAAACCTTAAAATAAAAATTAAATTTACATATCTTAATGAAAGAATATCAAACAACTACTTCCTTTTTTTTGCTGTGTTTTGAAAATTTACTCCTTTTTTCGTGATTTTAAATTTTTAAGGGTGTGTTTTGCAAATCACACTAAAGATAATATAGAGTTTGTTCCCAATCATTGATAGACTTTAAAAAAAATTATAAAATAAAGATTAATACTAAATCTAGTATACTTTATATAATAAAAACATCCACATAAACATATAAAAATACTAAAAAAGTTTATGAAAATCCCTTACAAAAATTCCTAATTTACTCAAAAAAAACCTATCCTATAAAATATTTAGAAAATAGTGCCTTTCATTCATTATGTTTTATTTTTTATTGAGACGTTATCAATCATTCTTCACCTTTGTCTTTTTCGATAAAATTAGACTACTTTTAGATACCAAAAAAAGATAGTAAAACCTTAAAATAAAAATTAAATTTACATATCTTAATGAAAGAATATCAAACAACTACTTCCTTTTTTTTGCTGTGTTTTGAAAATTTACTCCTTTTTTCGTGATTTTAAATTTTTAAGGCTTTGAGAGTGTTTTTTTAAAAATTTAAATTTTAAGTTGAGTGCATGTAATTTTCATGTTTCATGTGTTGGTAGTAAGTTTTTTAATGTCAGAATATTTCTTGCAACTCTAAATTTTGAGGGTATTTTTTATAATTGTTAAAACTTTAGATTGTTTGTTGTAAAATTTAATTTTTTAGCGGTATGCTGATAATTTTGAGATTTGATATGTATTGGTTATAAGTTATTAAATTTTAGGGTTTTGTGTGTTTTCTAATTTTCGAAGGAGTTTTTCAGAATTTTTATAACTTTGAGGTTATTTTTTTATAAATGTTAGTTTTTTAGTGTCTGATAGTAATTCCTTGAATTTCTTTTTGTTGTTAGCAAGTTTTAAATTTTATAATTTCATAGTGTTTTTTTATTATTTGAACTTTTGAGGGTGTTTTCATAGTTTTTAAAATATTGAGGGTTTTATGTTTGTTGTTTTAAGTTTTGAAACGTCTAGATTTTTTGTATAATTTTGTACTTTTAAAAGTGTTTTGTGCAAATTTTGAAACTTTTTGGTGTTTTTTGCAATCTTCATATATTATAGCTTATTAATCTTTAAATTATTGACCTATAAGTAGTTCACATAGGATTAAGATATGATATAATTATGATTATAATAAATTAAATTTAAATAAAATATTCAAATAGTCAAAGGTAATATTGACCATGGAAAGATTTTCTCAAACTCGTATAATTTTGAGATTTGATATGTATTGGTTATAATTTATTAATTTTTAGGGTTTTCTGTGTTTTTTAATCTTTGAAGGAGTTTTTCGGAATATTTATAACTTTGAGGTTATTTTTTATAAATTTTAGTTTTTTTAGTGTCTGATAATAATTCCTTGAATTCGTGTTTGTTGTTCGCAAGTTTTAAAATTTTAGAATTTCATAGTGCTTTGTTATTATTTGAACTTTTGAGGGTGTTTTTATAGTATTTAAAATACCGTTGGTTTTATGTTTGTTGTTTTAAGTTTTGAAACGTCTGGATGTTTTGTGTAATTTTATAATTTTAAGGATATTTTGGACAAATTTTGAAACTTTTTGGGTTTTTTTTGCAATTTTTATATATTATAGCTTATTAATCTTTAAATTGTTGACCTGTAAGTAGTTCACATAGGATTAGGATATGATATAATTATGATTATAATAAATTAAAATTTAAATAAAATATTCAAATAGTTAAGGGTAATATTGACAATAAAATGATTTTTCCGAACTCATACTTTTAAATAGAGTATGATTTTCTTCTTTCTATCTCATTTTCCCCTTTCCTATCAGAAATTAGGGGAAAAGACATTTGCACCGTGCATTTCCACATCTTTAGTGAGCTACAATTTTTGTAAAATGTCCATGCAAGTTGTAGCTTGTAACTATTCAACTAAGAAATAATTAATTTAGAAAAACTCAAAGCCAAAACAAGTCATATTGGTGACACATGGTGTATTGCATTTCTACTCTCAAATCTGAGTATTTTGATATTAGTTCTTCAAATTGCTTTAAGTTGTTGATTTTAGTCCTTCAAGTTAGTGGCTGTTAAATCTATAGGGAAATATTCTATTATCTGTAACTGTTGCATTTATGGGACAATTATGCCCCTCGCCAAATTAAAATTCATCAATGCAAAATTTAAAACTAATCAAATTAAAATTCATCATTGCATAATTAAACCCTAATCAAGATTAAACCCTAACTCATCCCCAAATTTACTACAAACCCAGACCTTTAAACTCTAATCATAACATGCAGTGAGAGAGAGAGAGAGAGAGAGAGAGAGAGAGAGAGAGAGAGAGAGAGAGAGAGAGAGAGAGAGAGAGAGAGAGAGAATGTCATTTAGTGGGGGGTGAATTACACTATGGGTATTTTGGTAACTTACCATCTATAGTTAATATTAACCCAACCATGGTTTAGATTTTTAACATAAAACCTATTAGAAGAACTAATATCAACAACTTAAGACAATTTGAGGGACTAATGTCAAAATACTCAGATTTAATGGTCTGTTTGGATGGAGGGTAAAGAGGGGGAAGAGAATGGAAATTTTATTTTAATCTTGTTTAGGAGTTTTATTTAGGAGGGTAACGAAGGGGAATGAAGGAAAAATTTGGTCCAAATTCTTAGACCCCAAATTAGAGTGTAATGGAGGGGAAGGGAAGGAAGGGGAATTTTTTCCCCTTCCTTCCCCTTCTTTCTCTTTCCTAGGTAAACTCCCCAACACACCATAATGGACTAATACAAAATCACTCATATTTTAAGGGACTAATATCTAAAAAATCATTCTTACTTTCGTCTCCCCTCATGGTACTTGAGACATGTGATGTGTCGACCCTCTGTCCCATAATACACCGTTAATGTGTATAATAAGACAGGGAGCCGACACCTCCACCTGTCCAATTTAGGCTCTAGGGTCCCATGTTTTTTTTGGTACCTGAGGCATTTTTCTATGCGAACAGAGCACCCCCATGGTAACCGTCGACCTTGAAAATTACTTACACAACTCTCCATGACTTCTCCCATTAAGACCTCGATGCTTCAACTTCAAATTCAAAGCTCCGGATCAACAATCAAACAAAATGAATCGCTTCTCGCCTTCCATCATCGTCGCTTGTCGATCCCTTCTCCA